TGTCTATGACGAGTGCTGGATCATTCCTATAAGTAGATGAGCGTATAATGTAAGTTAGGATAAAATCTGTGAGCTCATATCCTTCACTCCAACACATCTCATCATATTCTCTACTGTCCACTGTACGGATTGCTGGCATCATCTCTCGCGATCAATTCTACAAGTAAGGACGAAGCTGCTAATGCTTTTCTGTTTGTAAATTTTTTTCTTTTTTTTCTAACAACTTTTTTGATAAATACTCCAAGGTAAGCTAATAATAGGAAAAATAATATCGTTTTATGGTTTCTATGAAAAATACACATTAGATGGGGTTCGCCCATAGGCCCATTTAAGGCAATAGATTTGTGAGCCTCTAGCCCCTATCATCAGATCTATAGTTATCTACTCGCTATGTCTATGTACGATTGCTGGCGAACGTTTCTGACAAGTAAGGACGGGTCCAACATACAGCTCAGTCTATTACCACAATGACCCCACGACGACACAACGACAACGCCATAGCAACCACGCGGCAACACGCGACTGCCGCCACGACGACCACACGATGACACAGCAACAACGCCGTAGGCAACCTCGCCACGACCACGCAATTGACACATTGATGTCACGCGCAACAACCGTACAACAAAGAAAAAAAAACGCACCGCCACCACACAGACCCCCCCCCCCAGCACCACACACTACACCTTCCCCGCCCACACTCACACCTGTGCTGAAGAAGTCGTGTCGTATCATGTACGACATATATGTACCGAGTACTATACTGTATACACAAAAGTTGCTACCAGGACTTGTACTACAGAAGTGTCACCCTAACCCTAACCCCTAAACATACCTCATATAAAAATAAAAACATAATACTAAACAACCTAAAACTACCTCGGTTACACATATGTAGCACCTGATATGACGATGACCCTTTCAACCTCACCTGTAGTAGGTCCCGAACCAGTTTAGCGGCACGTAGAGCTGCAGTATGTAGGAGGAAAACAGCACATAGTCGCCCACGGTCAGCGTGCGAGCGTTGACGATCAAGCTAGCGCAGTAGAGCGTGCCAGCGAGCAGGCCGGCGTTGATGACGATGCTCTGCACCATGTTGAGAAGGTTGAGCGAGGCTTGCGAGACGAACTCCGCGCTCTGGTAGGCTAGGATCGCGTCGCGGTATCGCTTCACCTCGTATTTCTCCGCTCCGTAGTATTTCACCTGCGAGCAGAGGGACGAGAGGGTGATGGAGAGCGAGCGTGCGGAGACACAGATGGGAGAGTCGGAGTAGCGAATGAAAAAATACTAAAGTGGGAAAGTACGAAACTAAAGTAGAAACTAATTAGATAGACACNGAGAGAGAGAGAGAGAAGACGCGAGGCATAATTAAGCCAAGCTCCAATTTCAATTTCGTTCAAAATATACGTTTTATCTCGTTTCAAATTTACTTTTAATATGCATTTTTAACCATGAACTTTTACCATTACAATTAAAACGTTAAATTTAAGTTTGCATTCACTTCGTCGAAACAAAATTCACTCCAGCCTTCATCAAGGCCACGGTAATTCACATCCAACAGCTCGACAGAAACCTAAAGGGGGCGCTGCACACCGCGACCCCCTAGCAGGGGGCGCTGCACGCCGTGCCCGCTCACCAGGGTGCGCTGCGCTTTCAGCTCGATCACCAGGGGGTGCCGCACGCCACACTCCGCTCACCAAGGGGCGTCGCACGCCACGCCTGCTCACCAGAGTGCGCTGCACGCTGCACCCTGCTCACTAGGAGGCGCCTCCCGCCGCACTCACCGATCAGCTTGCTGTAGATGGGCACGAGAACGTTGAGTCCCCGCACGGCGGCGATGATGACGAAGCACGCGAGGACGCGCAGCTGCAGGCCGATGCTGCGTCGCGGGTACACGTACGGCAGCACCGTGCGCGTCTTCTTCCACACGTCCGCCCACGTCGACCGCTCACCCTGCTGCTGCTCCTGCTGCTGCTGCTGCTGGTCAGTGTTGGTGTTGGTGTTGGCGTCCGCGGGCTGCGGGAGGACAGGTCATAGGCTGCTAACGCACGCTCGATTGTGGAGAGAGGAGGAGAAGGAAGGAGGCAGAGGGAGGAGGATATATGGTGCTTACACACGCTTCATTGCTCGATTGTGGAGAGAGGAGAAGGAGGGAGGAGGGAGGTAGGGGGAGGGATATTCACTGACGCATGCTAGATTGTGGAGGGAGGAGGCGGGAGGTACGCACGCTAGATCGTGGAAAGAGGGTGGGTGGGAGGGGGAGGCAGTACGCCGCTCACGCACGCTCGATTGTGGAGGAAGGAGGATATATGGTGCTTACACACGCTCGACTGCTCGATTGTGGAGGGAGGAGGATGAGGAGGGAGGAGGCGGGAGGTACGCACGCTAGATCGTGGAAAGAGGG